AATAAAGAAAGAAAGAAATTAAAAAAAAACTACTGGATTATTACTTTGGTTTTTATGCAGTTTTATAACTACTCTGAAAATAAGCAGAAATGTTAGATAGGGCCAAGACATATCAAACAGGTAGAAGCATTAGAGCTACGGTTGCCAGACGTACTGATTTTATCAGTACAGTACTGATTTTTCAACTTTCGTACTGATTTTATTCATTTCAGTACGCTAATGTCGTGATTTTTTTTTTAATTTGTACTGATCTGTACTGATTTTTCAATTCTGAGCAATCAAATTTGTAATAGATTTCTTCCCACCGAGCTTGGTACACGGTAACTCGGTGATCGGTAATTTTTGCCCATGTATTTTGTTTGTGTAATATTATTTTACACAAACAAAATACTTTACGATTTGCTTCAGAATTTTACATAACGTTGCAACTTTCTTAAAATTTACTGTAAAAAGTAAGAAGAAAATAATTTAATTATAGTTTACTTGCTTTCGGTAATGTTTGATATGCGCAAGAAATTAATATAAGAAATTAATATAAAAGAGCAATCGTTTTAAGGGCATATAGCGGGTCAGAGGGCAGACATTTTTTGTCGAGTGTTGTTAGTTATCTCGAAAATAACTTTCAGTTTAAAAACAACAAATTTGAATAATTGAATGGCTTTGCCTACAACTTACAATTCGTTTTTCTCAATTTACTGATTCAATTTAGATACTCTTTTTGGCGTATTCTTAGTCTCAAAGTTTTTACGCAGTTGAAAAAATAATTTAAGCCATGAGGAAATACGGATGCAGTCCTTAAATAGAGGTCTCTTTCCACAGTTTGAATAAATATGTAATTTTGTTTTTTCAATACCACGTTCAAACGAAGCACCTGAGAGGAACTAACTTAAATATAAAGTTTGCTTCCTGGCGAAAAGAGAGAAACCGGCTTCTAATTAAAATTTTAGAAAGCGAACTTCAAATTAAAAGTAATATTGAAATATGTATAATGTTTAGAGTTCTTTGACTATTTAAACACTGAAAGTGGAAATGATCTCATTATTGCTATTAAAAAATGTCATGTATATAAAATAATTGATTGGCTCCTGNCAGAATTTTACATAACGTTGCAACTTTCTTAAAATTTACTGTAAAAAGTAAGAAGAAAATAATTTAATTATAGTTTACTTGCTTTCGGTAATGTTTGATATGCGCAAGAAATTAATATAAGAAATTAATATAAAAGAGCAATCGTTTTAAGGGCATATAGCGGGTCAGAGGGCAGACATTTTTTGTCGAGTGTTGTTAGTTATCTCGAAAATAACTTTCAGTTTAAAAACAACAAATTTGAATAATTGAATGGCTTTGCCTACAACTTACAATTCGTTTTTCTCAATTTACTGATTCAATTTAGATACTCTTTTTGGCGTATTCTTAGTCTCAAAGTTTTTACGCAGTTGAAAAAATAATTTAAGCCATGAGGAAATACGGATGCAGTCCTTAAATAGAGGTCTCTTTCCACAGTTTGAATAAATATGTAATTTTGTTTTTTCAATACCACGTTCAAACGAAGCACCTGAGAGGAACTAACTTAAATATAAAGTTTGCTTCCTGGCGAAAAGAGAGAAACCGGCTTCTAATTAAAATTTTAGAAAGCGAACTTCAAATTAAAAGTAATATTGAAATATGTATAATGTTTAGAGTTCTTTGACTATTTAAACACTGAAAGTGGAAATGATCTCATTATTGCTATTAAAAAATGTCATGTATATAAAATAATTGATTGGCTCCTGTAATATGTATTATAAAGGTATCTCGTACTACATGTTAATGTGTATACTCATATTAAAATGAATAACATTTTTATTTTTTATGAGCAACATTTTATTTATAAACGGGTAAGGCTTCCTCAAGTGGGCCCCGAATTTACCAAGATTAATATTTTTCAATGATATTCAGGCAGGGCCGAGTTTCGAAGTCGCAAAGTACACTGTGTAAATTTTGTTGCAAAATTCCAAATAGTTTTTTATCAACAATTGAAAATTTTTATTTTTCTTTGAAAGTAAGTGTCCGAATGAAAAAATTTTATTGGGTGCAGATTTAAAAACATTAAACTATACAATGAAATTATTCGCGTTACAAAATTTTGTTTTGCTTTTCTTGGTAAAAATAATATAACCTTGGTAAATTCGAAGCCCACTTGAGGAAGCCTTACCCATACCAAGATATTATTAAAAACAAGTACTCTGGCGTTTCAAAGTATTATTGTTACTTACATTCATAATTCTGCTTGGAATAAAAGTGTACTGAAAAGTACTGATTTTTCTAGCATGAAAAAGTCGAATGTACTGATTTCGCGCCAAAAAAATCTGGCAACCCTAATTAGAGCAAAAACAACATTTGTGTGTATTTTGTTGTTGCTTCTGGTATCGAAAGTGTCAAAAACTGTTCTGATTTTTTTCTTCTAAATCAATGCGTGCCATCCCAACAAGCAAAACAAAGTTTTTTTTAAGTTTTCAATTATAAACATTAAGCTTACAAAACGTTGATTTTTTGTTTATAAAACGCTTGAAAGTAAGCGTAATATAATCGAAAAGGAACATTGGTTATAAGCGTAGAAATATAAACTTGTAATAAATGTTCAAAAGAAAGCTTTTTATAAGCGTAAAAGTGTAAACTTATAATAAAGGTTCAAAAAAAGNTAAATGTTCAAAAGAAAGCTTTTTATAAGCGTAAAAGTGTAAACTTATAACAAAGGTACAAAAAAGTTGTATATAAGCGTATGAATATAAACTTACTAAAAATTTTCACAAGAAAGCTTTTTATAAACATTTTTATAACCCTTTATTTAAAGATATTTCATCAAAAACTCATACATAACATCTAGAAACTAAACGAAATGCGAATTTTCGGCGGACTCATCTACAGGCCCGAAAATATAAATAGGGAATAGACATTTTAGCATACAAATTCACGATAACACACAAAAATTAAGCAGAAAAAAGTTAATTATTACATCTTGTTGCGTGCTTTCAATTACATGCGGTTATTAGCAAATTGGAAAAACGACATCGGTGCAGCTATATATTCCGCTTCATCGCCGCCATTCTCATTGATGAACTTTTCTGAAAAAAATTTAATACATTTTTAATTGAATGTTAAACTAAGAAAGGATAAGGAGAACTCATCATTTGAAGACTCGAATGCTCCACCGATTAGCGCAGCGGGTCCTGGATTGGATTTTTTTTACCGCATCGGTTTTATTTAATTTTTTCTTTTAATAATATATTTTAAAAAATGTAAACACGTCACTTATGATTAAAAAAATGTTATATTTACTACTTCATGTCGTTGGCATTTGCATTTCATTTATAAGTTTAAGTTATTTATAAACATTCGCTCTCAAAACTTATTAAAGGTTTATTTGAAAAAACTTGTAATAAGCTTAATATTAAAAATGCTTATTTGACGCTTGTTATAGCAAACTTACTTTAAGTTATTTTTAAAAACATTTACTGAAATGCTTGTTGGGATATGAAATACAAAAAAAAAATTACAAAAAAGTTAAAATTGGAAAAAACTAAAATTGTTGCAACTTTCTTTCTTAGTAAATTTGTTTGCTTCTCGAATCATTGATCCATCCTTTGCAAGGCCCAGTAATCAGCGGTTGTGCTGCTGAGTTGGGCGAGCGCTCCAAAAGCTGCTATTCAATCGCTTGTTTTATATGGAAAAGGGTTTCACATGCTAATAGATTTGAAACATTTAGAATGTTTGTGAGAAGAAATTAAAAATATTTGACATTTTCGAGACTACATAATTTGAAAAAAAAAAAATCAAATTAGCTGCTATACCGATACTAAGATAACGATATGCAAGTGCATATGTATTACTGAAAGATCGACCTCTGGAAAATTTTTTCAGAGTATTTTTTGTTTGCCCAATACTTGAAAACTCTGGTAAATGTGGTTGTTCACGCTTGCCTGTGGATCAGGTTATTTGGATATGTGGTTATAATTTTTATACAGTTTACAACAATAAAATACACTACAGAATAATTTTTTTTAACCAGATATCGTGAAAACCTGGCAAGTGTGAACAGTCAAAATGATCCATTCTACACCCACTGTGGTCACACATAAAAACACTTGATTATCTATCGCTTTTATTTCATTTGCTCCTACTATAATAACACTAGTTTACATCCAAAATGTTCAATGGCTGCTACTGCCCAATTCCTATGTAGAATTGCTCGGTGATTCCGAAAATCGAGTTATTTTTTTCTATGGATAATTTTTCGAGATATTTACAATTTACCGTTATTCACCTTAAAAAAAGAGTGGTTCCACTTAATCACGTGTATCTTACGAAACAATTGGACAACCGTCATACGAAATACGGCAAATAAACGCCAATGAAATTCTCCATAAACCGTATGTACACCACTTTTCGATAGGCCTGATAATTTCTGAGAAATTAATTAACAAAAAATAAAAAACAGACATTTTTGTTTTGCCCCTGTTAAAGTTTGAATTTTTTTAATCGAAAGTCATGTACATATATACGGTTTATGGAGAGTTTTATTGGATTAGTGGAACCATTCCTTTTTTAAGCTGAATAACGGTAAATTGCAAATATCTCGAAAACGTATCCATAGAAAAAAATAACACGATATTCGGAATCACCGAGCAATTCTACATAGGAATTGGATAGTGGAGTCTGGAGAACAAAAACCAAACTAAAATTTGTGATCCAGTGTAATTTATAAAAATCAAAATACAGATTCCTCACAGTGCTGGCTTTTTATTACATTTTACAGTTAATGGACAAATTTATTCATATTACACTGCTCCTGCACTGCTTTTGAATTTATAGACCGCTTGAACGCCCTACTGCTGAGCTTAACTGCATTTGTTTATTAAATTTTTGACAGAGTTATGTGTTGTTTGCCAATGCTTTATTACTTAATAAACGTTTGCTTTCACATTATTTTGTATTGCTATTGTTATATTTATGATTTCAAGGTCCCGATCCCGAATGTAATTTGAAATGTGGCGATAATGGATTTTGTAATCATCATAAAATTTGCCAGTGCAAAGCTGGCTACACGGGTCAGTACTGTCAGGCGGCATTTTGTTTTCCGCAATGCCTAAATGGCGGCAATTGCACAGCGCCATCGGTGTGCACCTGTCCTGATGGCTACCAAGGCACTCAGTGCGAAGGAGGTAAGCTAAAATTATTATTTGCAATATTATATTTCATTATCAACCCAATTCTTAATACCCCCGGGGAGTTTGTTCTCCAGGAATTTGTTTCTCCCGAAAAATAATCCTCCAATAATAATAATAATTAACTACCAGGGAGTAGAATTTTCCCCGAAAACTTGGGAGGGGAAATTCGAACTTAGAAGAAGCTGCTTGACACTTTTTTGAGATCTGAACTCCGCCATTTAACATAAAAAGTCCACAGGGAATTTTTATTCATGATAGGATGAAAGGGAAAAGAGAGAAAACTCCCAGGGAGTTTCTGTTCAGAATCGGCCTGTATATTTTTTTTGCAAAAAACTTCTATATATATGTAGATAGGTATAAATATTACAATCACTGAAAGGGTGCATTTATTTATATACGCTTTGAAATGGCAATAGCCGTTTTGCAACCGATTTTGATCACCTCAGTCATTGCTTTGTAAAACGGTGCTTGCTCGGCGCCACAATCAATGCCTGTGTCGTGGTGTTCTTGCTCCTCATCGCGGAATTTGGTTATGACATCTAAGAGTTCCTGCAAATAGTAAGTGGCAAAAGTGAAACAAAACTTTCAAATTTTCGATTCGTACAAAAACAAGAATTCCATGTTGTGATGTGCGTATGTACATGTAGTATATATTGTGTCAAATAAACCAATTGTTTTTTTTCTTTCGGTCCCACATCAAAATTTCAGCTCCCTATCTTCATTTTTCTGTTAGCGCTTGCAAAAATTTTTAGAAAAATGGGCCACTAGGATGCGTTTTAATATAAAAAACTTGAAGGAAAAGTGGAAACAATGTTTCGAAACAGTGTTTCTTCATGTTTATTTGCACCAAAGTGTACCCAGTAACCGCGTTTTTGGTAAAATTAACGCTTTTTGTTTTTATTTTTTTGGCCTTATAACAATTATATTCAACAATTTTTATTGAGCTCGGGGCCGTTTTTTAATGAAAATTTATTATGGAAAAGCAACAATAATTTTTAAAAATCACTTCTACCATTTTTTCAAAATTATTCGAGCTCAATAAAAATTGTTGAATTAACGTTTTTTAGTAAAAAAAAATAAACAGCAGATTCAGATTACTCGTGCCCGAAAATCCCCATAAAAGTCTTTTGATAGCATAAATATTTGCATTTTAATCACTTTTCATTGATTAAATGCTGCTGTGCGATCACCCACTTCCAATTAAAAAAAAACACGCTTAAAATCGCCAACCTGGGAAAATTGATAAATTACTTTTCTATATGCAATCCAAACTTCCAGAAAAAGTTGGTTCCGTCAATTAAATGCCCAGCCGACTGCAGAACACAATACAACCTCAAATTTTATAATGAAAGACTGCCAGCACTGACGTTAACATTAAAATATGTACCTATGCTAGTGACATATGGACTCATGTATATTGATAAGATTTTAGAAACTTTTAAGCTAACAAAACTTGTAAATGAAAAATAATAGAAAATTTATTTATTTATCTTGATTATTATTTTAGGTAAAAAAAAGTTTATCTTTAAAAATGCGATATAGGGATCAATGAAAGTATGAAAACTATTTTTATTAAATCATAAAATTTCATAACGTAATTAATAGGGCTCGGAATCTCATGTAAATGCATGTTTTATTAGGCATGTTCAAATAGAAATGGTTAAATTATCTTTACGAATCATGAAATTTCCTTTAAAATGGCATTCAATCGTTAGTGCATATTTTTGCATATTTTGCAGTAAATGCAGGATTTTGCATATTTTGCAAAAAATACCTGTTTTTGCATATTTATTGCGCATATATTAGTATATTTTACAATAAATGCACGTGGTTTTTGCATATTTTTGCTTCTTTTTATTTAAAACCATTTAAATTTAGTGCGAAACCTCTTGCCAAAAAAGATCCATATAATTTTTTCTTAAATATTCATCTGAATATCTTCCCGGATAACCAAAAGGCCATTGAGGTACTCTCTTCTACTTCTATTAGATCTCAACTAGTGGAAGACTGTAGGAGAGAGCTGGCCTATATCTCTGATCAATACGAAATTACCCTAATATGGTTCCTTGTGCATAGGGACATTTACGAAAACGTGACAGCGGACGAACTAACAAGGTGCGGTTCCGCACTGAATGTGTCCCACGCGGTGGACATGGACGCTTTGCTCTGGGAGATAAAAGCAACAATTACCGAAATTTATCACTCGAAGGCCAAGCAAAAGTGGAACCGTACAGGATAGTACAGGATTACCCGGCAGTTCTAGGTGTCCTACGACCCACTTAGACCAAAGCTCTCTTAGGAATGAGCAAAGAAGATACCTACTAACTTACTTCAGTGTGCATAGGGCACTGGCACGTTGGCGTCGTAGTTGCGATGACTCTAGCTCAAAAGAGACAGTCGAACACCTTCCTGTGCGAGTGTCCATCCCTTGAAAAGATTAAATTAATTAAAAGAAGATAGGGCACTGGAAATGCAACATAAAGCTTTGCCATTGCTTGGATTCCGGCAACAAGTACCAGATTGAAAATATCTGCTGTTGCAAACAGCTGCGTGCCGTATATTTTCAATTTTTGGTACAACGTATATCTGTAAGTCTTTGTACTCTACAATGAAATTCGGAAAGTAAAATACCGTTTACAATTAGTCGTATTCGCGAACCTAATAATTATTGAAAGTTATAAAATCTATCAGCTTTCTGTGTTCGCGTATGCTAAAAACTTGCAAGGTAGGGGAAATAGAGAGAGCAAAATTTGCAACAAGAAAACCGCTGGTTGGAATTAACAAAAATCCCCAAATTGAATTTGATGGTTTGAAAGTTAAAATAGTAAAATGCGACTAATTAAACTTGTACGAAGTAAGTAATTATTCGTTCAGTCAGGGAACTGTGTCAGGTTAAGACTTCGGGATTTGTTTTCTTACGTTTTCAATTTTATACTTTTGAATCATGATTCAATAACACAAGGTTATATATTTTGTGACAGCTAAAATTTGACACTCCTTTATCTAGATTTGTATTTTGGAAGTAGGAGAAAGGGAAAGGATGTGATCGCCTTTTGCGAAAACGGTAGTAGAAAGGTACTAAGAAAGTGCGCAAAGTATACAATTAGAAGTAAAATCTGTATTATTAATTATATGTGAATTGGCAATATATTTGGTGTTTTAATGGAAATACTAAGCAATACGTAAAATAATCGATTTTTAATTTAAGTTATTCGTCATTTCCTGGAACAAATCTAGAATACCGACCGTTTAACTATGCGAAAACAAAAAATGCAGATCAATAGAATTTTTTACGCTCATTTTTACCATGTCAAAATTATTTAGCGCAAGTAAAATTTAAGACGTTTTAGAAGGTCACAATTAAATTCCTTCATTTTTTTTTTACATTAATATCTTATGAACCACATAACCGATTAAAAAACTAATAACGTCACCATAAAGATAATCAATTTATCTTTCAGCTGATATACATAATTGAAATTCTTTTAATATATTTAAACCAAAACCACTAAAAAACGAACATATGTTATTTTTTCATGAAATAACCTTTTTTGAAAAAACTGCATGATTAATGGTAAAGAAATTTATATTATTTAGAAGGTACAAGCTATTATCTTTAATTCGATATACATATTTTATCATGATCTACGTTTGGGTTTTAAGAATTAAGTGTTAATAAAAAATATAAGTAAACAAAGCAAATAAACCTCTTATATCTTCTTTGTTTATTACCTGCGCCAAATAAATTTGGTATCGTTGAAATCAGCGTAAAAAGTTCTATCAATCGGCACTTTTGGTTATTTTATAGCTAAACGGTCGCTATTCTAGACTTCTTCCAGAAATTTACGCTAACGAAGCTGATCCCAACGAATATTTAGTATGAAGAATTTTTGGTTTTACTACTAATATAACTAAAAACTGTAGAGTGTGCAACATTCTGCACAAGTAAATGAGCTGATTTTATGCGTGGGAGCGAGAAGACTGCTTTATTACAAAACCTTTCTGTTATTGAATCATGCTTTTGAATGTAAACAAAATTTCTATTAGCTGTTCGTCTCACTTGCAAGTTTCTGTAAATTTTCTGTTCGCGTATTATTTGGAATATTTTTCTCTTGTGAGAGAACAGATGACATTTCGCCGGAATTTTGCTGTTGGAAATTTTTTACTGGAGATTTTAAACGCACGTACCTATTGACTAACTAACATTTAATGAAACTGTTACGAACGGCTTTAACTGACGTAAAACCAGGTTTTGAAAATTTGGCCAAAGGGATCTTTTGAATTTTCTTTAATATCTATCTTACGTACATTAGAATAATAATCAAATTAATGTTTTTCATTTCTAATAATAATTTTATTTAAAAATCAAATTTTTGTTTTTGTTGTTTTTTTTTTGTTGCTCTTTGTAGTATTTAGATTTTACAGGTGGCTCTTTTCGGCCTGGGCGTTGCCCACCCCTATTTTAGAGTGAAGTTGCCTCTCTCTGTATGAACCGCCAAATGGCTGCAGGTTGTACGAGTTGTGGTATCAAAATGGCAAACTTTCTCACACTGTCAATGTTGCTATTTACACAGATTGTATCTGACTGCTTGGTTATATACAAATTTTATACATACATAAATACGTATTGTATACATGTGTTATTTATTTTTGTACCGGCAATAAAATATTAACAAAATATTTTTAATTGCATATTTTACTTGTTTGCGTGCATATTATATGCGCATATTTACGATTTTTTAGTGCATAAGATTTTCGTCTCAAAAAGTGGTTTAATTAGGTTTTAAAAGTAAATCAAAATATAATTTTTAGAAAAAATTCACTGGGTTCAAGCCCTGTCAAAGCAATATCGCAAAAAAAATATAGAAAAAAGATTTTTTTAATGCAATGGCAAACCTCCGAGTGTATTTCTGCAACGAAAAAAAGCTTCTCATAAAAATCCAACGCCGTTCGAAGCCGACGTATAACTGCACAAATCGGAGGAGAAGCTCGGCCAAACACTAGCATACATATGTGTTAGCGCCTATCTATTATTATTATAAAAAACACGGAGTTGCATTTTTTTAATTTGATGTAAGACTATTTTGTCAAGAATTTGATTCCCTACAAAACTACATTAAGATTTTTCTTTTATTTAATTGTTTATAAAAAAAGTTGTGGAACAAAAGTATTTTCATTGAAAATTCTTATTTTTGCAAGCGCTAACTGAACAAGTAATGTTTAAGCAAAAAATAAAACCGACTTCAATTCTTATGTAAAAATTTAAGATTAACGTTAATTTCTTTATGATCCGATGATCGGATTTAAATTAATACGGCACCACCTGTGAGGTAACATCTTTCATTTAAAAAAGAATTATATCGGTTAACGTGGTCCAAAGTTATGCGCTAACATACATAAAAAATAAAAGTACAAATAAAATAAAATAAAATAAAATAAAACATAATAAAATAAATTAAAATAAAATAAAATAAAATAAAATAAAATAAAATAAAATAAAATAAAATAAAACAAAATTAAATTAAATTAAATTAAGTAAAATAAAATAAAATATTCCGACGAATTGTTACCTTTCTCCTTTTTGTGAAGTGGTTAAAAATGAAGATAGAGGGCTGAAATTTTGCAAACATTCTTTTGTTGTAAAGGTTAGTATTCTGTTCACAGCCGTGAAATTTTGCCAGCACTGTTCCTGAATTAGTTAAAAGTTCACTAAAACGGCCGACCAAAATTGAAAATGCAACTTGGTTCGTTATCACCTACGTAACGAAAATCCCATTTTACCAAAATCATATCAGCCTTTTTTTGCGAAATATTGACGTTCAAGAATTGCAATATTATAAAAATTTCACAAAAAATTTTTGTTATCATATTTTTTTTAATTCGTTGGGTACAATTAAGATAACAGTTATAAGTAACTATCTGAACAGCCCTCGGCTCTTTAACACATAATTCTTTTGCAGAGAAATCGTTAATAATGTATTTCTTGTTTTAATTTATTTTTAATGAATATTGTTAGCGTTTCAATACGTTCTGATTTAATAAGTAATTGTGTAATAGAATCCGGGACTGAAAGTGTGTGTAGGCAAGTTCAGTTTTATTTACAAATATACAATACACCATGTCGTATTACCTAAGTCATGCAGAAAACAGAAAAAAAATATCTGCACCATGTGGAAGAAAAATACTGTTGGGAAAAAAGTAAGTCGAATTTGNGAATCCGGGACTGAAAGTGTGTGTAGGCAAGTTCAGTTTTATTTACAAATATACAATACACCATGTCGTATTACCTAAGTCATGCAGAAAACAGAAAAAAAATATCTGCACCATGTGGAAGAAAAATACTGTTGGGAAAAAAGTAAGTCGAATTTGTTAAACCAGCAATAAAATGAATAAAACAAAATAAGTAAAGCTTTCGTTAAAATAACTAAAAGCCAAATAGTGAAAGGAAAGCTCTAATGAAAGCCTAACTTATTATATTTTATTCATTTTG